CGTATTCTTAAAGTAGTATAGATATAGATATAGATATATATTATAGACATAATTGTAATATAATATGTATTGTATATTCGAGGGGATTTCAGTGCACAACGTAAGCATGGAAGAGGAGCACGAGACTGTTGTCTTGCTGATGGCATTGTTTCCTTTTACAAAACGTTTATTTGCTGATGGTAAGAGCTCTAGAGCTTGATTGGATGGCATTACTTTGATCAACTTCGTGATGAAGATTGGGACTAGTTGGAAAGACGATTTAGTGAAAATCAAGTGTTGGCAACTTTGAAAGAACTAAAAGGTGATAAAGCCTCAGGGGTCACATTGCTTCTTGATGGCTTTTGTTCTATTATTAAGGATGAGTTAATGGTGATGTGATTCCCTACAAATAAAAACTCTGCATACACTCTGAAAGCATAGGAATCCAGCCTCACATTGAGAGTATTCCTCTTAAATTTAATAAGCATGTACAAGAGATATTCCCAATGTACAATTAGATGTTATGTGCAAAGAATTTTTGCTTGCGGGCTCAAATTGATGTCAGCCTTGATTTCGAAGGAGCTGCAAGTTATCAAATGCAATGAAGTCAGCCTTTATATCCCTTAAATTAAAACTTCGGTATGTTTTGGATTTGAGGGATTATTGCCTATTAGCTTTATTGGGAGCTTTTATAAGGTGTTATCAAAGGTGCGTGTTGGCTAATTAACTTGGAAGATTGGTGGGAAAACTAATGCAACCCTACCAAGGGGGTCGGATGCCAAAATCTTGATGTGCCTCTCATTGCCAATGAATGTGTAGACTCAAGAATTAGATAGGATGATTCTAGTGTTGTATGTAAGATTGATTAGAGAAAACTTAAGATCATGTTTATTGGAATTGTGGATTGATTATGTTTTGGGTAGATGGGTTTTGGCAGATTGTAGATGAAGTGCATTTGCTACTACAAATTGCTCCAATGTACTCTAGTAGTTCGGTGGACTATTTGTTGGAGGGAGATTCAAAATTTCAAGAATCTCCTCTCCCTTCCTTTTGTTTTGGTTTTGTCTTTTCTCTCTTTCTCTCCTCTTGCATGTGGGAGATGAAGGGAAGGGAGATCCATCATATGGATGACCAAACAATGTAGGGTGGTTGGGTGAAATTTCAAAAATTTCTTTCTCCATTTCGAGAATCATATTACCTGATTTAGAAAAATTGYATTTTTCAAGGTTCGTTCTTGAAACAAACCGGATCAAATCTGAAATCAAGATTAATGAGAGGAATACCTGATATGGAATCCATGCAAAAAAGCTCTTCCCAATGTAGGTGTTCACGCCCAAAGAGTTTACCAAATCCTTTCCCCACTAAAAATGACACAACTTAGGGTGAGGCAGGATCAATAGGAAGATTCTTTAGTAAGAACCCCAATTCTTTAGCAAGAATCAAGCAGGGATGTGAGCACAACTTCAAGATTGATTCTTCCAACACGRATCAATATCAAGATCCAATCTTGATCACTCCAAGAACTGGAGATTGAATAGGGTAGGGCGACAAGAGCAGAAGGAGAGAGAATTGAATGCAGAAAACTATGAAACTGTGTAACCTTTTCCTAATTCGCCCTCCTCCTTTTATATAATTCTTAAAGAGTTAACCTCCTAATCTGATTAGGAGTTTCTTGATCCAAATGTTTATTTGGATCTAGACTCTATTAAGTGATAAGGCTTATCCCTTATCTTATCTGCAAATCAGGATCAACTTTTCCTAATCCAATTATAAGTTTCCTAATCCAAATCTTTATTTGGATCTGGACTCTTTAAGTGGATAAGAGTTATTCTCTTGTCTTTATCTGCTGATCCATACCCAGATTCGCCCCCTTATTTAATTAATCAAATTAAGCCCAGTTCAAATTGAGCTTTAAGCCCAGTTCAAATTGGGCTTTAAGCCCACTAAGCTTTCAGGTTCATTTCCCTTTAAGTGTTGGCTAGCTTGGYTCTTTTTGTATGGCGTGGGACCCTATCATTGATTTCCACATAAGCCACATGGGTTCAGCCTAGCCTTTGTTACAAGGCCTGGCCGAATTCACTACTGAATACAATGAACCGCTGAGTCCATCAGTATGGGCTCTTAATGGGTCCAACATTTACACTAAATGGTCCTTGGGTCCAGCCATCTTATGAAGGCCCAAGGACTGTGGGCAGATGTGAGATTAGCCCATTAGGTAAAATCCCTAAATGGTCTTACACTTAACCTCTCAGCCCATAATGATCAAACACTGCTCGACAAGAGATGACCTCTCCCTCGGCTGCAAGGTACAGTGTTGCACTCTCTACTCACATGGATCCCGGGAATTAAAACTTGTTTTTGCAAACATTTTGTGAAAACATAATATATATATTGCAAAAACAAATCTCAACAAGTTTGAAATCAGCTGCCGACAATTTAGTTTTCCATCAGAGAGAGTGCATTCCCCAACATTTACTTTGTTCGACAAAGGGGTTGATCCTATCACTATGATCACCCGCTCAGGTGAATTCTCGGACTGCCCCAACATACCTAGGTTTTGACCCCCTCTAAGTATCTCACTGATTGGCATATCAAAGACATCCAAATTCATCACCTAGTGCAGTACCATAATCGAGTCTAGGGGTTAGGTGTAACTTTCCAGTTTTGCCCATCTGTCTCCAAGGTTCAAGGGCATAACTGGAAAATGGTCCGATTCAGGGTTTCAARCAAATCCACACTACATGTGCTCCAAGTCTCACCCTGGCAGTTGAGACAAACCACCCCAACCGACTTGGCAGYACATTAGTGTCAGCCTTGGCGGGATAAACCTCCCTAGGCCTATCCAATGGCTGTGAAGATTCTAAACTAATACGAGTCTCATTAGTGTCCAGTTTAAGGGTATTACACAAAAACACACCATAAATAACATGGATTAATTATGTACTTCATTCATTTACAGTAAATGTCAATAAGTACATCAATCTAATTGGAGCTAAGGGCATACACTGTCTAACAGACTGTTGTCTTACATTGCTTGGGAAAAAAGTTGGCGTTGAGTATATTAATAGGATTGCTCTCCCTATGGGCARGGACCCATAGGAGGAGAGCAATATATATCTCTACATGCATATGAGGGGAGTTGGGAGTGCTTTTCACACACGTGCACACCGAGCCAAGTCGGGCCGGGATGGGGCACGGGTTCATGTGTGTGTGCATGTACGTATGCTACACTGAGTTGTTTTTGTCTTTGACCGGTTTAACCCATTTTTGACTTTTGAATTTCAAAGTTAGTTTGAAGCGTTTTTTGTCTTCTTCCTGATTATTTGGTGTCTCTGTGTCTCTGCAAAYAGGTGCCTTGTTGCACTGTTCTGGAGAAACACTTCTCTTTGAAATGACATCTGTGTCCATTCGGGTGACTGAGAACACTCTATAAATAGAGTGGTGGTTGACCTAGTGTTATAGAACAACAAGTTCACAGTTCTCTATTTACTTCTTTCTTGAGCATCATCTCTGAGTTGTTCACAAAGGTTTGGTAAGCGAGTACTAGTCTACTAGTGGMCTTTGGGCTATTTTATCTTGGCGACCGGTTTGCAAACACCCGATTGTACTGTATGGGGCAAATGCAGTTTTAAGGAGAGTGACCAAGTGGCACGACTCAACCCTCCCTTCTCTACAATTCTTTGTTTTGTCTTCACAGTTCTATAACATTGCTGACATTTGATTTGGAAAGAGTTTATCGATAAATTCCATTATGCCTTATTTACATTATTCTTCCAACACTATTTCTCAGGAATGATCACTTCTGGAAGATGAAGTTCTTGAAATGTTGATAATAAGCAAGTCCTTGTTTAGGGCCATACAGTATGGGTCCAACCCAATCCAATGTAAGGCCCCAAACAAATCATGTTGGTTGTGGTTCAGACAAGACTGGGTAGGATTGTTTCTTGAGTTTGTATAATCCAATTTAGAGGATAAAACAAAACATGCAGTGTGCTTGTAAAGGTGGCTCAAGCCAACTTTGTATCACTACATGGTGTAAATATCTACACTATGGAAAGGTTACTATCGTTGATATCAATAATTTCGTCTCCTATTATGGAACTATTGAGGAGATTAAGTTGCTCATGTAATATGTGCTGTTTTTTTATTATTCATATTATATATTATATAAATATATTCATGTGTATTTAAACATGCATTCATGAGTATGCATATTCATGCGTGCCTGCCCAAAATTTTACCATTATACCAAGTACTGATGGCCCCTAAATGGATAAATTACCATTTACTTTGGAATGGGAAAAACCTCTTTGTGATGCCAAATTGCAGAAAATAGAAATGCAAGATACAAAGTGGAAGGGGCGAACAAAATGGTGTGGGTACCCAAAAACTATTTTCTTTGTGCCGGCTACTGATTGGGATGGAATCCAATTTAGACATTTTGAAGAAAGGCAGTCGGTTAGCCATATTATTCACTGCTCGTTCACTTGTACCATTTCTTCTTAGTGGTGCTCCAAAGGCAGTGGGTGGTACCTCAATTTGTAGCAGATTTACTTTCTTCTTGGAAGATCGGTAGGGTATTTGCAAAGGGAAAGATCCCATGGTCTCAATTGCCTTTTGCTCTGGTGACTGGTGTATTTGGGAGGAAAGAAATARATCTCTCCTTAGAGCAAATGATTGGCAAAGTTATTTGGACTTTCATTGGTTGAGATAAGGTTTTACAATGTTTCTGTTGCATTTTGGGCAATTATACTGTTTCTTTTTGTATATGCTCAATAGTCACAATGTGTATGCTATACAATTCACACATGTATGGCCTTTTGTAATTTTTTTTTGCTGAGGATGTCTAGATACATACACAATGGCTCATTGTCATCCCAATCACTACCTGGAGTAAGCTTTGAGAGAGAGAGAGAGAGAGAGCACCTGGAGTAAGCTTTGGGGAGGAAAAAGAAAAAGGAAAAAAGAGAGTTATTAGACTAAAAAATTGTAACGCTGGGCACACCCCAAGTTTGATAAATCAGGTATATCCTTACTAAGAAAAAATGTAGAAGAGAGAACCAGACCCACATATTAACTTCAAAATTTGTTATATAGGGTTTCTTTTGTCCAATTATGTGATTGCTTTAGTTGTCTGGACTCTTGAGGGCATATATTTGAAAATTGAAATAGAGCAAGGAATCATTTATTTCTTTAATTGTTAGAGCAAGCAATAATCTTCTCACACTCGTTGCAAGACTTTCCTTTGACCAGATTTCCTACGCCCATACAAATGTATAAAAATCTAACTTAAAAATGGAGCTAACAGCGGATCTGTCCGCCAAGGAAGACTCGTTCTAGCTCCCAGACCTCTACACCCAGCAGCTGCCTGCAATCAATACCAAGGCCGAAGGTCATTGACAGATTTTTCCTTCCCAAATATGCTACATAATATGCTATACTTACCACTTGAGCCGCAAAGGTTAACATTTTCTCTGGTGGCATGTCTGCACAAATAGCTGACGTACAAATATACAACAGTAATAAGCGTTAGACACTTAAACCAACACGAGGCTTCCTTAGACAGAAAGAAATATAAAGGAATAGCTAATAATGAAGCTAGATTAGTTTAAACACAGGTACATATACATACATACATACATTACCATATATAATTTCTACATAGACTTCAAAACTTTTGAGGCCTACATCTCAGAATGCCTCAAGGCCTACCCCTTGCCTCTTCAAGATCAATGTCCTTGCCACCGCCTTCTGTCTTTCAAAAACTTGATACACATACCCAGTCCAAAGCAATTGTACTATGCTTGTACTAAATAGAACAGTTTAGGAAACAAAAGGAACATGAACAGATGGCTGCTAATTAAGCTGGATTTCCAAATATAGAAGCAGGGCCCGAAAGCTATTCAGTAAGACCATAGTACTTAAGGTGGTTTGAGTTACTCTCTTCCAAATCAAGAGTGGGTTTTTTCCCTTATTAAAATTTCAAAATAGGATGAAGATTTTGGATAGTTTATTAATCTGAGATGTGAGACCATAGAGAAGTGCATCTCTACAAGGGTTACTATAATACAACCCATAGTAGACAAAAAGAAATACATGCAGTCTATTCCAGGGGATAGTCCCCCAGTCCAACTCACACCAAACCACTCCATCCTAGCCAAGGTCTCTGCTTAAGGGTTATCCAATCTTGAAATCTACTTAAATAAGCTGCTTGTTCTAAATTCCATTACTCTAGCTTCTCTAATTTAATGGTGCAGAGACCAAGAGACATTTGAAAAATCACATATACAGATTCCAGACAAACCGCTTGAGAATCCTCCTCTATTTCAATCCCCTTGTAATTTTTGGATGCATCAGCTTCCACTGGATCACTTGTTCTCAATGTGCCATGATTAGATTTTGGTAAGACAGGTACAGGTATTTCAGTCAATATTCCCTCTTCATGTCAACAATTAGGATTAATCCCTAAACTCAAGTGCCATGATTAGTTTTTGTTAATGCTACTACCAGCATGGCCCTCTATAGACTTCCCCTAGTAATTTTTAGAGGCATCAGCTTCAACTGGATCACTTATTCTCAAGGTACCATGATTAGTTTTTGTTAAGACAGGTAAAGCTATTTCAGTCAATATTCCCTCTTCATGTCAACAATTGGGATTAATCTCTAAACTCAAGTGCGTTCATTTTAAATTTCACTCTTCCTAGTATTGCCACTAAGCCATGTTGGCATCCTAACCTTCTGCACCAATCCAAAAGGTTGTGCATTAATTGTCATGGGGAAAGAATTCCATGTCCAGAAAACCTTGGGACAGACATACAAGCAGAGGAAATATACACATGAATACGTGTGATATGTATAAATATTTATACATTTGGATATATCAAATTCCCAGGTGATGTACTCATGTACAATTAGTTTTACAGAATCAAATAGAACAAAACTTCTAACTAATCAAAGACAGGGGTAATTCATTGTTCACATAGATTCAGCGAAAATATCACAGCTCCTTTGACACCGTTGTCAAATTACAAGCATCTAAGACAAACCTTACCAAGCCAGCTTAGTGAACCATGGATTTATGGATGAAGAAAATGCACAAAGCAAGCCAGAATAGATAATATGATTTCACATACCATAAAGAATTGCACCAACAAATGCATCACCAGCACCAGTTGTGTCAATAAGCTCTGAAGATGGTATCTTCTCTGCAGTTCCYACTAGCAGCCTCCCACTCAATGTCCCTATTCTATCTGCACTCAATCTCATCACCGTCTGTAAAATTAAGAAAAGATAAAAATTTATCACAATAAAAATACAGAACATTGATTTAATCCATCAAGAACAGTGTCCAGTGCATGAATGCCAACCCCAGTTGTCAGTTCCAGTCAAAGAAGAGAGGAAACCAGAGAGACACGAATTGGTGGGGTATGTTCTATGTCTCACACACCCAGAATGATAAAGTACAACAATGGACAAAGTAGTGTACAAAGAGAAATAAAAGAAAGGTAAAATTACAATATTAACCCCCATCTTCTCTACACCAGTATCAGCATAAAATACAACAGCCAACCTATGATACTCAGAGACCTCTCACTGGTTTTGTCATTACAATCAAGAGGGGCTCTAAAACTATTTTCTTCCTGTTTGTTTTCCTTTTTTTTTTTTCTAGAAGTCAACGGTTTCATAAATCATAATAACTATTTACCACCTGTTGAACATAGAGCTTTAATTGTCTACCACATAACCTCAATTTACCTTGGATGAAATACATGTTGGGATAGCATTGTTACCATCAATCTCCTGCTTCAGTAACTCTAGTAAGTTGTCCACATCCATTTCTTCTAGGTCAGAACCCTCTACTGAAAGTAATGTTCCCCAGTGATTAGAACTCATAATCATAAATCATTAAGCAACTGAAATATCGATCTATTACACATCCACATCCTTCCAACATCAAAATTGGTGGATCAACCTCATCATCCACTTTCTACAGTTGGAGACTAAATATTGGCATACTCACCATTTATGCTCCTCTCAAGCATTATACAGCCACCTTCTCCAAGGGTCACAATAACAAATTTGATATTTGGCAATCTCAGAAGCATGGAAACAAGTGCACTTGGAATTGATGGGGCCTCTGTCCATTGCTGCCATAACAAAATATTTAAAAATAATAATTAAATAAATTAACAAATCATATGATTTGCAGTCTCATGGAATGACTAAAGTAATGACATCATAAATTTTGTAGCAAAGAACATATGAGAAAAATTATTTTGTTGTTATCCTTTTGAATGAATAATATATAGTTAAAAAGTATTACCATCACTGGGCTTCTAATATATAGTTAAAAATTATTTTGTTGCTATCCTTGTTTCTCCCGCTTCTTCTATACACGTGTAGCTTCAATGATAAAACAATTAGACAATAATGTGGTTGTTTTCTATAATGGACCATTATCTTGTATATGAGCAAGATATGCCCCATCATTGCACATAATTCTGATTTTGTTCTCTAAAGGGAGTGTACAATGAGTACTCATACTCATTATTGATTCTGGAGTCCACATTCCTTGGACATTTGCAGTGGTTCCTAAGGATGCATTTTATTGCAGTTCAATTTTTTAACTGGTGCAAAATTAGTACCAGGTTAAGTTTTGCATTCATTTGTTTGTAATTATGATTTGCATTTCTACCTGAAATAAAATTTGTACTTTTTGTCTCTTTGGCACTCATTGGCAGTGCAGTATAAATTCCACATCCCAAAAATTGATGCAAAATCTGCACCACGTTCCTCTGACCTCAATTTTCACTCATATAAAGTGGGAACCACATCATCTTGCATCCTACTTTACCTATAGACAGATAACCCTCCTCTTACTTCTGTTCTCTTTCATTTAAAGTGGAGGTCTAATAGGCTGTGCCCATCACAGGCATTGCTCGAGGCAACCCTTCTTCCTGAAACAGACTTAAAGGGAGGGAGAAGGAACTGAGTGAAAGAGAAGAAATGAATAGTGATAATTTGCATGTTTTATTCATTTGAAAGTCCTCCTATTTGTACAATTTGAGAGGATATTAAGCCTGAAGACGTGGCCTTCTAGAATATACAAGCTTGATTGGAGGATATGGGAACCGAGCTCATGTCTGGGTCTGGCTCTGGCTCATAGTTTGGGCCTGGGCTTCATCAAGGTCATTTCATTTTATTTCCTATTTTACTTCTCACAAGCAAATAAGACAAAATAAAATCTGAAGCAAAAGTAAACCAGAATTTACACTCAGCCCTTTTGCACTTCCATGCGTTTACACCAATGCAAATTGAAATTTGTACTGCAACCAAAAGCAGCCTAAAGATCAAATCAATAATTTTTCATATACCCATGATTTGTCAGATTGCTTCCACAACAATGTATCTGTGGTAGCGTGTGTTCAAAGCAAATATCAACCACAAAATTATAGTAGTGGTCCATTAATTAAGAGAGGTTAGCAGAAATTGATTAAGAGGATAGAGAAAACTGAAAATATACTGGCTAGATAGGCTTCAGAGAATAGAATCTTTGTTGTGCAACTAGGAACAGACAGGGGATGGGGAGAACTACTAATCCCTCTAAAACTAACTTATTAAATCTTTTTTTTTTTGTTTGAAAGGTAAAAGGAAAATTTTATTAAAGAAAAGAGAAAACTGAGTACAACCACTTAACAGGTGCTAAGATAGCACCCCACAAAGAAGTTCTTATTATTAAATCTTAGTGGACCTCAAGTTCTTCATCAACATCAGAATCAGCAGTGGCAGAAGGATCAACATGAGCATCTAATCTTTAGCTTAAACACTAAGTTTCTGCAATTTATCCACATTGATGTTTGTTCTTGCTCGAATAATCAATTTGAAGATTTTTYGGTAGGGAATGCTACTTTAAAAGATCAATTCCCTTTCCTCTTCTCATTGTCCTCATCTGAAAACAAAGTTGTGTCTGATTTTGTATTCTTCTCTATTGGCGGCTTATCTTGGGATTTTGGTTTTGAGAAGACGGGCAAAGGTGAACTTAATGGGCTTTTTTTCTTTGCTCAATTATTTGGAGTGTTTTGTCCTTATTTAATCTTCTTCTGATCTTCCTCTGACCCTTTGAAAAACTACTCTTGTGCTTACTTTTTCAAAGCCCTCACATATTCTCTTTCCTCTTCTTCTTTTCCAGTTCAAGAGATGTGGTGCAAACTGGTGCCATCCAAAATAAAGGCATTTAAGTGGGAAGTGTTTCATTTGACAATCAATATGTGATGTACTTCAAAAGATGAGACCCTACTGATGCATTTTCCCACACATTTGTTCTCTTTGCATGCAAGTGTAGAACTACCTATCACATGTTAATCTCCTGCCCTTTTCTTACTAGTATTTGGGAATAGTTTTCTTCTCTTTTTGGCTGCAAGTGGAATCCCCTGGATGATATGGAGAATTTATTCAAGAACACTTTCTTCAACCCACCAAGAGAGGAAAATCATGTGAACGTGTACTAGCTGCAGTTTTGTGGGCATAATGGGGGGAGAGAAATGAGAGAATCTGTTAGAGAACAAAACTTATTCAAGGACCTCACTTAACAGCTTAAGCTTTTAGGTTGAATGGTTCTTTGAGATGGTATCAGAGCCACATTGACCAAGTGGTCTAGTGTTCGATTCTCGTCATCCCCATTATAATTAATTAAGTTTCAGCACAAAGTATGGCTGGGCCTGTGCTGTCCACACTTCAAGCCCAATGGGCTTTCGCGTGAGGGGGCATGTTAGAGAACAAAACTTATTCAAGGACATCACTTAACAGCTTAAGCTTTTAGGTTGAATGGTTCTTTGAGAGAATCTTTAATCAAGATAAAAAAGCAATAATAGAATCCATCAAGGTTCAAAATTTCGCAATGTGTTGGGCCAATATCGTCCGATATGTATCGTTTCGACTTCCGACAAAAGCCCGATATGTGGAACATGTAGAAATCGTATGTTGCAATTGTTTCATGTGTATTGAACAGATACAGGCTTGTATCAGGCTGTTTCAGGTTTGTATAGGCCGACACAGGCCCGAAACAGTCCGATACAAATCCTATACACTTAATTCATTTCAAGTCCCCTTCTCTCATTAATTTTTTTAATCCATATTTAAGGCTGAATTCTCTCTCATTAATTTCATTATTTACTCCTATATTTAAGTCCAATTTCTCTCTCTCATTTAATTAGCTAATTACTCCTATAATTTAAGGCATAATTTTAAATTTGAATTTGAATCCTAGTGCCTAATTCAAATTCTCTCTCATTAATGATCCTCTCCCTCATTAACTTTGTTTTGCTACTCCTTAATTACACTAGCCATTGGTTTTAAGCTCTTATAATTTTAGTACAAAAACTACAAACTTAAGCGATAACTAAATTCAAACCTTGCTCATTAGGATTTAATGTCCATAAGTTCACCACTAGGCCACACCAATTTGTTTGTTATGTCATATGCATTTTTATTTTTAAGTATATTTTCTCTTTTCTTAGTGGATGTTTGTCAACAAATGATGTAATTAATTATTAAAATTTATATATTAATAAATATTAAGATAAACTATATTTATTATTTGAAAATTAATGTATACACATACACATTTTAGTTATTCTGTCATTTTTCAACGGTTACTAATTGTGTTCCGATATCTCACACTTTATGGACTGGTTCATACTCTATTCTTAGTCTTGAAAGAAACCAGGCAGCATCTAACTAATCCCTCTGTTGCTATTGTACCTTCAGACCATTAGACAGTGGCTGATAGGAATTCAACTAATTACGCAAACTCTTGAAACTAGCATAATGCTCTTCCACAATTTTATCACATTGTTGCAGCTGGAAGTATTCTTGATAAAGTTGATAAATTCTTGAGCATTGCCCTGCCTGGAGTACAGCTATTTAGTATGATCCTAGATTTCCTTCAGAGTGTATAGGAACATCAAATTCAACTAATATGAGGTTCCATAGTCCATACTATTCGAAAGACGTGTCATAATTTGTGCATTTTCTTGCACCCAATCACTATATCCAGCAAAACCCAACTCTGGTTTGTCATCCTTAATATATTTCAACTTCCATCTAGTAGTTAGATTCACCTCTACAAATTTTGCCCAGGGATTGTAGTTTGCACCATTGAGTTTCACAGAGGTCATCTAGACAGCCATCAAGTCTGGCTGTATTATTGTTACAATAATCTGTAAAATTGCAGCCATTCCCCTACTTTAAATAATAAAGAGAAATTAAAAGAAGAAAGACAAAAATAACCCTGCTGACTCTTGCAAAATATATAACTTCTAACAATATTCAAAGAGAAAGAAAAATCAAAGGAGATTGTGTTTGATATTTAGGGCATCTTGCTTGCTAACTGCTTTTATGCCTCATTTTATTTTTCATAATTTAAAATTTAATATAAAATAGCATAAAAAACAGTCAAACCCCACTTGTTACCAAAATGATTAAATTAGAAACTTGGTAATCTATAATAATGGATTTCGACTTCACCAGCTACCTCTGAACTTTACCTATCACCATGTTCAGTTGGGTGGAGTTTTTCCTATGACAAGTATGTCTGTTCTATTCCTTCCACAAACAGCAGCACAGGGTAATCAAGGACAAAAATTTCAAAGAGTGTTTCAACAAAAATCCACCTACTGATCATGGAGGATACCAGTTCCTCCCCCTAATGGCTCCTTGAAATATTCAAACAGCCATTACCCAATGTTGGACCCTGCTATCTGAGTCTTGCAGTGTTGACTGGATAATGGATATGGACCTAACTTTTGGAATTTTTTGCACTAAGAGACCACTCAACGTGTCAGCCCAAGATTTTACCACTGCCCCTATTCTTTGAAACATTCTGTCTATTATAAAGAAGACCAGAAAGAGCCAAAGAAAACATAATTTACCAAGATCAAGATGTAAGCAGCCTTTACAGTGAGAAAATTACTTTAATCTCTTTTATTTACAGAAAGTATTTCAGCAATAACTTGTCATCATGGGTTTAGGCCATATTTCCTGTCTGATAAGTTCTAGTTGTTTTAGCATGGTTACAGAACTTTGAGTCTAAGAATCAAACAGAATGAGTTTATATTTTTAGCAACTATGAATTGTAATAATAGTAGTAGACCACAAATGTATTGTAGTTGATCTAAGATCATTAACATACCTGAGGAAATTTTGCTGAGCATACAGCATAATCTGCCAAACTAAGAAGATCATCCAATCCTTCCCTCTTCCGTTCTGCATCAATTAAAATAGGTATTTTCCTGCGAGCTGCCTGCACTGGAATTTTTTCAAGAAATGCAGGCTACTTCCATTTGTTGATATTTTAAATACATCCAATGATTAGGGATGGCAATTTTCCCCATCCTCACCAAGTACCCGACCTCCCCGAACCAATGGGGTTGGGGATGGGGAATGAAATCCCTGCCCCACCCCCACCCCCACCCCGACCCCGATTATATATTAAATACTATTCATATTAAATATATATTATTATATATATGATATTATTTATATTATTTATGTATATATATTACATTATATTTAAAATATGATTTATATTTTAAATCTTTCCTTTATTTTAAGTAAATTTATTTTCAAAAAACTACTGTTAATTAAAATATTTGAGGGGTTTGGGTCCCTGCAGGGAACCCATCTCCATCAGGGATCGGAGATGGAGGACAACTTTTATCCCCGGTGGGAATCGGGGTTGGGGAAGGAGAATATGATCCCTGCCCCAAACTCACCCCGTTGCAATTCCTACCAATGATAACCAAGAAATATTTGGTGAGACAGTGAGAACTCCTTCAAGTATGAAAAGTCAAAACCATAATATTTTTAAATTGCAGAAAAAATGGTATTTTAAAATTCTAAGCAGCAAAGAAAAGAAGTGTAGAGAACATTGATGTGGGCCCCACAGCTGTGGTCCCACTCTG